GTTTGCCTGATCATTTATAAAGCTAACGTTCTTTACACTGAACTATCATTACCGTTAACATTAATAACCTGCAACTTCATAATATGAACATTCATTATTCTAAACATTCATAACCTGAACCTTCATTACCTTGAAACTTCATGACCTGAACCATCATTAACCTGAAACTTCATTACTCTGAACATTGATAACCTGAACCTTCATTACACCAAACCTTCATAACCTGAATCTTCATAACCCGAACCTTCGTTACCCTGAACCTCCATACCTGAACGCTTATTACCAGGAAATATCATTACCTTAGACCTTCACAACCAGAACCTTCATTACCCTGAACCTTCATAACCGGAACATTCATAATCTGAACCTTCGTTATGCTGAACCTTCATAACCCGGATGTTGATTACCCTAATTCTTCATTACCTTTAACTTTCATTACCCTTAATATTTATAACCCGAAAATTTATAAACTGAAACTTCGTTTCCTTGAAACTTCATAACATGAATTTTTATTCCCCTGAAACTTCATTACCCTTAACTTTCATGATCTGAACCTTCTTTAGTTTGAAACTTCATTACTCTTAATCTTCATAATCCTGAGCATCTATACGATCTATTGTTAAATATAATGGAAAAAAGGTCGGTTCATTGTACCACTGCAGTAAATATCTGACTCCCCCCGCCTCTTTCTTTAGAGGTTTTGCGTAACTCTGTTCTGTCTTTCTTATCTTCAATCTCTCTTGTGAGTATTAGAATTTTTAAGATTTTAAAAAAATAATGAGTGGATTGCTTGATTTACAAACCTGTTCACACTCTTCCATGGTCTTTTGAACAGGAATAGAGGCTTACATCCTGTTTCCTGTTGAGGATTTGTTTTCTTCTAAAGTCTTTTCTTCTCGTTCACTTCCAGTAGCCCCACCCCATTGCGTGTTAGCGGCATTATCATTAGTTTGGCAAAAATTGATTAAAAAAAACTGAATTAAAATGGGTATATCTTTTCTGTTAAAGCAAAATTTCATGTTGAATACAATGATATATATATATATATATATATATATATATATATATATATATATATATATATATATATATATATATTTTACTTATTATAAAACGCAGATTGTGTGTGTGTGTCTGTAACGTTTATATATTGGATCGGATTTCTTACATTTTTCAACCGATTTCAACAAAACTTCACAGGACTACAGAAAATTACCTTGTGGTGGTTCTAACAGCGCCAAAAATGGGAAAAATATAATTGTATTTGCACAAAATCAATTTGAAAACACGATTAAGAAACATTATGAAAATGAAAGGGGGACAACTCACATCGGGTTGTTTGTGTGTGTGGTTTCCTTTAAATATGGGATCGGATTTCCTATATTTTTCAGCCGATAAAACAAAAATTCTCTTTTTTTTTTTAGGTAGTGTTCTTATTCTCTTGCACACTTTTTTTATTTTTTTTAATATTCAGAATGCTTTAAAAATTCCATTTACAAGACAATTGCTTATAATAAAATTCTATTCAATTAGGAGACTCATAACGATTGAAAACAATGTTTTTGTTTGAGTTTGGGTTTGACCAATTCGTAAAAAATAAAATAAAAATAAAAACTAATTAAGACATGCGTGTCCGTCAAACTTAAACAATAATCTAACGATCTCTACTGATTGTACGAATACAAACATCGGATAAATTCTTTATCTTTAGGGAAAGATAATGAAATCTAAACATACAGAAGTCCTAACTAAAAATAATAACCGGAAACTACTTTAAATACACATGGTGTCCATTTTTTTTTACTGTATTCAATAAATAAAAATCATAAATTGTAAAAGATTATTATTACAGAAAGGCTACTAAATGAATAAGATTTGTTAGATCATAATTAATAAACCCAAATAAAGTTAATATTTTTTGTATTAGAAACAACGAGTGGAAAATATATTCAAATCAGAATTCTAATTATGAATCACCACAAGCAAAATATACAATTTCTTTTACTGTATTCAATAAGTAAAAATCATAAATTGTAAAACTAAAAGATTACAGAAAGGCTACCTGCATTTTTCAACCGATTTCAACAAAACTTCACTTTTTTTTGGCATGTAGTGTTTCTCATTGTCTTGTACACTTTTTTTTTTTATTTTACATTCAGAATGCTTTAAAAATTCCATTTACAAGACAATTGTTTATAATAAAATTCTATTCAATCGGTAGAGACTCATAACGATTGAAAACAATGTTTTTGTTTGAGTTTGGATTTGACCAATTCGTAAAAAAAAACAAAACTAATTAAGACATGCGTGTACGTCAACCTTAAACAATAATCTTTGTCAATTTTATTTTTCAGTCTTTATGATGGTGGATACTTGATCTATCTCTTCCTGTTACATCCCCGGGCAACGCCGGGCTCTACTGCTAGTATATGATAAAATAAAGAAAAATAGGAGACATTTATCCATCTAACGTGTTTAACTTCAATGCTTCATTAGAGAATGGAATATGGAGAAAAAGAAGAAACCCTGGTATTTTTATTTTGTGTTGTTTGATTTTCATGGGTAATCATGTTTCACGTGCATTCGACTTATTAAATAAATGTTAGTATAATTTGTGTCCTTTCAAATTCTGAAAAAGAAAAATTGAAAGACTGTTTTTGTTTCTTTCTGAATGTTCTACCACTTATGGAATGTTCTCATAGCCAAAAGAAATCTCTCGGTGTTAAATTGGTTGAGTATAGAGGATGTGTAAGAAACTCTCATCTTAACGAGCTGGGGTTTTTTTTCTCCGTTTTTTTTGTTTTTTTTTTAATTTTTGCAAAGTGTGATGTCCTTGCCTTGTCATGCCAGAGAAGAACACCTTTTTTTATTTACCAAAGTAGAAAACTACCGACGGAATGCTTGATTTACCCGATCCAACTGCTGGCAACAAATGTCTGCAGCGATAATCCTGCCAAGTTCCATCGCTCATAACTGACAACCCACTTATATCCAAACAGACTGGTTTGGGGTTTTATATGTACACACACACACATACACACGTGTGTGTGTGTGTGTGTGTGTGTGTATGTGTGTACATATAAAACTCCAAACCAGTCTGTATATATATATATATATATATATATATATATATATAGATAGATAGATAGATAGATAGATATGAAAAATTTCTCAGAGTTAATCTGTAGAAAAAAAACAATATGTATAAAAGTAAAAGACAATAGGAAAACTGTATTATTAGCCGATGCGTTTCGTGCAATGTGGGCTTTTTCATTTCGTTTTGGGCTTAAAAAAGTTCACATTGGACGAAACGCGTTGGCTAATAATACAGTTTTCTTATTGTCTTTTACGTTTATGCATATATATATATATATATATATATATATATATATATATATATTAGTTTGAATAAAAAAAAAGACCACTTTAAGGTTCCATGTAATAAATTATTTCACCACAGCTCTTTTAAAGGGCTCTGGATCATCAGACTTTACTTCCATCCAAAGGTTTTTTATTCAAACATATTTGCTCTGAATTTACATTGAGCTCTCCGGATATCATCCTCCTTGGGTCTACCCATACGGATTACCTAGTTCTGCATAAACTATATATATATATATAGTCAGAAGACTAAATTCAAGCATGAAACGAACAGTCGATTCCTAGAGTTTATGGATTTAGGCACAGTATTAGATTGGCAACGAGGTCTTATCATTTTACATTTGAAATGGTTAGATGTAACCGCCATTTCTGTACTAATAGTTTTCTTCTCTCGCAATTCTCGTTTGTGAAATTCTCTTCAGGCTTCTCCCATTCTAGGCAAATTTAATTTTCAAAAATTTAAGTTCAGTGTCAATCTGTTATCTTCTGTCTTCTTAATTTGTTGTCCTTTTATTGTTCTCTCTCCTTAATAATGTTTTTTTCTTTTTCTTATATCATCTCATACTCAGTACCTCATACATCTTAGTGGTTTTGTTCTCTTCCTTGGGGATGAAATGATTAATATATATTTATATCTGTGTTTGTGTGTGTGTGTGTGGGTGTAAAATGAGTGCTGGTGGTAATAAAAGTGCCCAATGTAAATTAACAAAGCTAAAATTTAAACAATTCTTTCAGGAAAAATATGTATATTTACTATTAATAAATGAATATACTTATAATCTATCTATCTATCTATCTATCTATATATATATATATATATATATATATATATATATATATATTTGAATTAATGGATTTTATTCTTAAGCCGACGTATTTTATTATTTTAAACATTACTCAAATATGAGTATACCCTAAAATTAAAGTTTAAAGTAGTAAAAATATATATATATATATATATATAT